AAATGTAAATTCCTCATATTCATTCTTATTTATTTTATCACTATTAATTTCAACATTAATTTTATTTTGCTTTTGACCTTTTCTGATCTTCCCATTGAGTTTTCCAGGATATCTGCTTAACACTTTATTAACACTTCTTCTTTTATATATTTCATTTCATAGTTTAGGTATTATGTTGTATTGCTTAGTGTTGTTATTGCTCGATTTGTTGGACACTTAAATAAACCTGACTGCACATTTAACGGATGAGATGAATTAAAGTCTAAATATTTATAAAGCAGAATGTGTTGGCTTTTTGTAAACGCTAGTGTTCGGATTACCTTCTTCTATTCATTTGATTTTACAATCTAACATTACAGCTAATTCTCTTTGTTCATTTTCCGGGTCAAATGTGAATTGTATATTCTTTTCACTAGTGAGTTTATATGCGTCAGGAAGATAGAGGTATGATCTCATTATAACACTGTTAAAGTGTCATCCACATATCTCCACCATATTTTTGCCGTAGGATTAAATGTATTACGAGCTGTATTTTCCCAGCTGTCCATAAAGATATCTGCCCTGGAATTTAAAGACAGTAAAAAGGTCCGGGGTTCGACCCCGGCCGGCGCACTCCTTTACCTCACTGAGCCAGAAATAATGCTGGTAAAGAGGAAAGGTTGGGCATGAGGCTAGCAACCCCACCCTGTAAAAATTAAACACTGCTGCAGAAACCTGAAGTCACTAGCATGGAGCCCTATGTTCCACTGGGAACGTGAAGGAAAAAATTTAAATGTTTTTAAAAAATGTGTAGCTCAATCAAAATTTTTTTGTTTCGGCTTTACAGTTATTTCAAGTTATCTCCTATTCACTGGAAGAGCTTTTCGTTCCACCAATATATATGTAGCAGTAGGTTTGGTTATCAGAAGCGATATCAGTTTTTTTTTCAATGTTTCAGATATGTCTTCCTGATGAACGCTAACAAGTATAAAATCTACATCTAAGGCCTTCTGTGAAATTTCACTCATGGGAAAACTCACTAAGCTTACTTCACACTTAAATGTGAACTGGAAATATTGTCTAGAAAGACGATGAAAGTTTCTCAGTTAACTGACTCAGATCAGAGAAACACAACCGATACAAAAATGTATGCTCTAACTAGAATTTAACCTTCTTATTTGAAGCGCATTTTCATTTCTTATATGCCGTTACATCAATACGAATAGATTTTATACTACGCCATTGTTTCGTAAATTGTTTTGCAGATTCTGTAAGGTAATTTTTGATAGGTAGGGGGTACCAATAAAATAAGAAATATCTGACTTATTCCATTTGGAATGAGTGATTTGTTTGATTAAAGCATAGGAATAGGAAGATAAACCATCCGGTAGTAGTAGCAATAATCGTATGAATCTTGCGGAGCTCAGTACATCAGCTGTACCATGCGCCAACTTGAAAAACACGCTCGTGAACACTATCCAGCCTGGCTAGTAAAAGGAGAACCAAAACGTGTATTTAGTTCAGTGACAGAATATCTGGTCAAATTCAGGACATTCAGCGCCATTTGGAAAATCCTTCAAAATAATATACAAGATTTGATCAAACTTATCAAAGAGTGTGAAATCAAGACATTTGGGTATAGCCGAGGCATTAGCCATCGAAAAACTTAAACCTATGCTATGTATCCAAAAGAAATATGTCCAACCCTTGTCCTTGTCATGGCCATCATAAACAGGTATTTCTTTTAATAGTGACTATCACATTACATTTCTTGTCCAAACTTACTGTTTATTCATGTTATTTTTAAGTTTTCCTTAATTCCTATTTACACTATCATATTTTCATATCAGAAGTTCTTGTTGATTTTGTCATTTTATTATTTCTACATATGTTGTCCCTAATCTCATAAATAATTATTCGTCACATTAGTTATGATCCCACTAGATTTTTCTATCCAAACATCCTGTCTGTATTTGTTATTTCTACATTTCTAACCTCCAATTGCACAATATGTCAATCTTCTCAGTAATCATGATGCTAATTTGTTTGAGTTCTAATTGCCCTCCTGTTTATTATGGCATTTTAATTCCCGAGTGTAATTTTATTAATATGAACCTTTGACCAGAAATTCTTCCGGAACTTCTCCATCCATTTATCATAAATACACGAATGTACAGCCTAGTTGATGACTTCGTCTAAAAACAGAAAATTTTCTTCGCTGCAACCGTCTTTTTAATAATTCATATGAATTGTGACAAAAATATCATTGCTTATGCACCTCATAAAATTGTTCATAAAATGCGTAAAATCTCAAGAGGCGTGTAGAAATCATCAAATAGGCAGGCAGTTAAAACATTGCGAAACAAGGTGAGAATTATGATAAGACAACATTTTAAAAATTAAATAATCAAAAGTAACAAACAAGTGAGATAATATTAGAAACTGTTCATAGTAAGTGATTATAATCGAAATAACTAGGGAATAGCATACTCACTGAATAGACAAAATGAAAAATGAACAGTGGCAAAGTAGAAATGAGGACTTTATAATAGTTTAGCATGTGAACAGATTAAGACCCTGAAAGAAAACGGGATTGAACAAACTTTTTCCGTGTACAAAATATTAGCTTTTCTATTTCTGCGTCTAATGCTTCAGCAGTACACCTGAGTCGAACATGGAATGATTCAGGCAGATTATTTCTCATCTTGTGGATAGTTTTGAAAGTAGACGCTATAGAACTAGAGTGACTAATATCGACTAGATGTTCAGTTACTGGGCTTCATATAGCCTTAACTCCACCTCTTCGTAATCACATATTCTAATGTCCTTTCACTCCTTAGGATCAAAGCCCACATTGAATAACTTATATACCTAGCTTTACAGAAGCCGGTGAAATAGTAAATACACACAGAGTTGATCGACTGAGGGATCTTGTCCTTTATTTTAATGAACAGTAACGGTCTACTAGAAAGCACTATATTTACTAATGCTTAGGCGAAGGTCCTTTCCAAGGAGTGTGACATTCTTCTTTTGAGGATGCTGCCGGTTAAGTCACTTTTGTATCCAAGCTTCACATACATCATTCCCTTGGATACAGGTCAACTGCGTATGCGTTTATCACTTCACCTGCCCTTATGGAGCTAGGTATATTGGTACCTTGATGTGACGTTTGTTCACAGTTATGATAATACTGAGGAGAGATCTATGCTATTTTTTAATTCATAGAAAATTCCCATTGGGACATACAGGAAATCAGAACAATTGATTGAGTGAGGAGACTCTCTTCAACAACGAATGTATTATCAAGCTGTACAATCATATACATATACATATATATATATATATATATATATATATATGTTAATATGGTTTTCAAGAAGTTATATCCAGTGGGGGAATTGAATTACAGGTGTGAATACATTAAGTAATAGTAGTAAGAAATGCAGTTAAAATATTTCTGATTATAATCATAGTTAAAAGTCAAGTGGCAAAACAATTAATGTGATTTATGGAATAATTTATAGGGTAAATGTTAATCCCTAATCATATTTTGGCTCTACTAATTTTTTTCGTTTTGTTTATTCAATTTGTATACTCTTCTTTTGTCACGTCAATTGTTACTATTACTATTTTCACTTTGAACTGTCCCCGGTATTATTCCACTTGTTCCACTTGTCATTCTAAATCACTTCTGTTTTTGTAACGTTAAATTTGATGTTATCAAATTTCATACAATGTTACGTAATGCTTCTATTTTTATTCCGTTTGTCTACTAATCCTATAATTGCACACACCCCTTGCAAGTTCTATCCATCCTATGAATTATTCTATATATGACATTAATTTGCTTTGCCACTTGACATTTTTTCCTTCCTTCACGTTCCCCCCAGTGGAACATAGGGCTCCAAGCTAGTGGCTTGAAGTTTCTGTGGCAGTGTTCATTTTTACAGGATGGGGTTGCTAGCCTCATGCCCAACCTTTCCTCTTTACCAGCATTATTTCTGGCATAGAGAGGTAAAGGAGTGCGTCAGCCGGGAATCGAACCCAGGACCATGTGCATGGCTGGCGAGCGTCCTAACCAATGTGCCACTGACGCACCCACTTGACATTTAACTATGATTATAATCACAGATATTTTAATTGTATTTCATACTACTATTATTATTTCATGTATTCACACTTATGATTTAATTCCCTCACGGAATATAATTTCGTAAAAACCATATATTTATTTTAAATTTTTTTGATTACAGCTTGATTCCACACTGTATTTTTGGTTCAAGTATGGAATTTTTAGCATGTGATATCGGTAGCCCAAATTTCGCAGGCCGACCATTGATATCGGGTGTGCGTCGGCAGGGGATCAAACTCCGGACCATGTGCATGGTCGTTTAGAGTCCTAAATGCTGTGCCACTGACGCACATATGTATATATATATGATTCTACAGCATGATAATAAATTCTTTGAAAAGAGTCTCTTCAGTATTAAGGAGCTCAAAGGAATAAACTCCTATTTGAGCACCACTCGGTCCTATCAGTTAAGCAGTATAGAATAACAAGAAAAAAACAGACAAAAACACTATCGTGGAAAAAACCCATATGGACATTAGAAAGAAGTTCAGCAAAGATGTTGATCTTTTCGGCGATTTCATTCTTAAAAGCTGTACAATCGCACTTCAATACATAATTTTACATGGATTCAATTCTTTTTTGATCCTACAGCGAATAAATGGTGATAATTATTTTCAACTAGATATGGTTTTTACGAGAGGCTTAGAAACAAAATTACACAGGATTAGAACGGATGCCAAGTGTGTAAAAATGAGCATGGAAACAAGAATTGAAATAATAATTTTCAACTTGACATGGGAATTAGGCGGTGCGAATATAGATTACAAGAGCCTTAGAAACACAAAAATCCCACAGGATTAAGATGGAATTGTAAACTAGTTATTTTAAACGGATTATAAATGTGAACAGCAAAAAAACTCTATCATAATATTATAAAACAATGGCTTACGATTTTCGAAATAAATTTAGCTGGTGGTTGTCCTGGTAGTTTACAAAATCTCACTATATTTCTATAATATTTATGATATTGTAAAATTTCATTTTCTTCTTGTGTAAGACCTTTTTGACATACTGCAAAAGGATATATGAGAATTAGAAATCCTGTAATTCTGAATGAAAGGTTGTCAATCATGCTTTTGGTTTTTCAATGAGAAAAAAGAGACCAGGTTTTTAGGCTAATTATTTAAATAGATATAAGACATAGATTTACACACAAAAGAAAGTCATGTCAGTTATGTCAAAAGATCAAATGATTAGTGATTTTTTTTTTAATCAGCTAACAATGACACCATAATACTGAAAGACATAATGAGGATTTTTTTCAAAATACTGTGTCATTCTTCATTTGCTTGTCCATGTCAATACTATAGACAATTCAAAAATATTATATTATATTTTTCTGAACAAAATATTTAGAGCGAACAATTGTTTTCAATAAATTCTTCTTCAGGCTCTACAATTATAAATCCATTAATGTAAGCATACAATAGCCAGTAAAGGCGAATTAGAATCATATCAGAAAGTGTATTGTGGAACAAGTATAAGATGGGATGAAACAATAGTCATATAGTCATATAGTTTTTTAATATGCATGGTCAATAACAACATGGGACAGAATGAGATGAAATAATTTAATGATGTGTGTATATATATAAATATAGTTAACAGAAAATACAGGTTTCAAGAGTGAGTGTAATCAGGGTGTGTGAGGCAATATGAAAATAAACCAACGAATGGGGCGGTCTAGACTTAAGTTCAAGGTTGAAAATAACAACAATAAGAATGATTGTAAAATAATAACGATGATATGGTGTAAAATTAAAATTAAATGTACTATTGGTGAATGATTGTCAAATAATAATAATGAATATAATGAAGTGGAATGAACAGGATTTTGTAAATACGATAGTAAGTTAGAAAAGCACTATTTAAACCTAAGGTAATAAAATCATAAGAAAGGTCATGAAATCATAAAAGTCGAAAATGAACGTTTGTCAATGAAACAGAGGAATAGAAGAAGGAAAAGAAAAGAAAATCGCGAAAGGAATTTATAGTGTTAATGGAGGATTTGTTGGCTTTATTGTAGGCCAAGGTAAACATAGAGGTTGAACATACTTCTTCTGTATGCAGAGGGATGGTCTTCTGGTATTAATTGCAACTGCTTCAGCTACTGATAGAAGACGTAGTCGAGCTCCTCTAGATAAATTACTAGGAACGCGGTAAATAACTGAGAACGCTTGGTCAAGTTTTATCGGGTGTCCAGTATCTACCAAGTGGGCTAAGACTGCACTATTTATGCCTTTGGTTACTCCTTTACTCAACCATACAGGTACATGTTCACGTGCGCGCATGGATAAAGCCCTCTGAGTACGGCCAATATAACTAGCTCCACATGAGCAGTTGAATTCGTAGATGCACATTGATGAGGCCATCTTTGGTAATTTATCCTTTACTTGCTGTGTGAGTACTGGTTTAGTTGAGAAGTTTAGTACCAATTTAGCTGCGGGAAATGTTCTATCTATTGCTCTATTGAGTCGACACTTTAGAATGTCAGCTGCAATTTCCCCTTTGTAACTTAACTTAAGATACAAAGGTTTCTTGTCTACGGTATCCACCTTTACCCTGTCTATAGGTATTGACATATACTTTCTTAGGAAGCTCTGTGGATATCCATTCTCTTGCAGTGTGAGTTTTAGTTTATGCATTTCTTCCTTAATGCATTCCTCTGAGCATATTCGTTTTATTCTGTAGCTAAGACACTTAACTAAGTTTCTTTTATGCTGAATCGGTGTGAAACTATGGAAATGGGTGTACTGACCCGTCCAAGTTTTCTTTCTAAATAATTTCCTTTGTAGATATCCATCTGTCTTCATGGTAAGTAGGACGTCTAGGAAAGGTAAACTGTTATTGTCTTCTTCTTCACATGTAAACTGAATAGTTGGGTGAACACTATTAACGGTATTCAGAAGCTCTTGTTTATTAAGATTTCTATTACAAACGATAAACGTATCATCTACGTATCGACAATAATAGTCAAACCCTTTAATCGTGTCTTTGAGTGGACCATTTTCAAGCTTTGCCAGGAAAATATCCGCTAGCAAAGGGCCGAGTGGGGCATAGGACTTCAAGCTTAAGGTTTTGAATTTTCTTTAGTAGTCATGATTTTTTATGATGTATGAGGTTGCTAGCTTCACGCCAAACCTTCTTTCTTTACCAGGCTTACAGTCGGCCAGGAGAAAAATTCAGCAGTGTATTGGCCGAGTATCATACTCAAAATCATATCCATGGTAGGCGAGAATTTTACCACTGAACCACCTATGCAAGAGTTGGTTTATAGGTATTTGATTTGCTTCAAAGTGTGATCGAAGGTATATATTAATTGAAGAACCATCGGAAAACACAGAATTTCTAATCCAGGAGCTTCCCGGTGCAAGTGAAGCTCGTAGACCATCCAGCTACTGGTAACAATACATAAAACTGGTGTATGTATAGAAAGGTGTTAGATGTTAGTAAATCCAGTGTCACGATCAAAGCCAACTGGCCTTAAATTGAGCACAGAAAATCAACCTCTACGTTCTACTGTGTATTTCACAAAACGTCTTTAAGACACTCGCAGTTATAGAAAGCTCTAAAACAGAGAAAGGACGATTATTCGTTGATACATAAGTGTGGTTTTACTCAACAAGAATAACATCAGATAGGGTTGATTTCCTAGTGAAAAACAGTTACCTAGAATCAAGGAGAACATCCTCAATAAAGTGGAATCCAAAATCTGTCGGCAAGAATCACTCACGGAACACTTCACAGAGACAGCCCAAGACCAGAATGGCCCAACAAACAAAACTAAAGTCGGAAAACAACATATTATCACTTTAACCACAGAGACACAAAGAGATGCATTAAAAATAACGATTAAGTAGGAATAAAGACAAATAATAAAGATTAAGCCAACTTGTTACATCCAAGTGTCAGAATAATGACTTACAGTCTATGAGAAAAACGGATAACGATTGCGAAGTCGGTTAGAACATGGAAAAATAAGCGTTAACATTGTAACCAGATCGTTTAGGAGGGATTTCCCAAACAATTATTGTGGTATATTTATAAACTGTGCACAGTGGCAATATATAAATGTTAATCGACACGTACGTTAACTTATTAAAGGTTACGTGTCTTAAGTGTCATCAGTTGGAAACATTCACAAATTCACAGGAACCATTATTATTTATTATTATTCCCTGGAGTTCCAAGTGGAATATAGGACTTCAGCAGCATGTGTACACTTTGTTCTATTCTCTGATGTTCTCTCCAGCTGGCTGGGGCCATGACTACCACCCATAATCTCCCATCTCCTCCTGCAACTCACACAATCTCCTCCATGTTACCCTCACACTGGCGACCTACTTGTCGTTTCCCAGTCGCCTGTATTGCGCGTGATGTCATTTTACGGCCTTCTTAGTGTATCCGTCTATATTTTCTGAATATTTGTTGAGCAATCAGCACTTGGTTGGTTTGTTCCCAACTAGAGTTTCTTGTTGTTAATTCCCCTCTCACCAGCTGAAAATTTGATCTTCAGTATGCAGCCAGCGAAGGCGGCTGTCAACAAAAGTCTGCTGTAGCCTGTTGGAAATACTTTTCGTGACGCGTTCGCCAAGTTTCGGAGCCATATAGAAGAACTAAATGACTTCACACTGGTGTTGGAAATCTGAATCTTGCTCTTTATGCTGGCTGCTAGAATTCCAAACTAATTTCAGACTGATGGTCGATTCAAGTGTCCTTTGAAGTTTTGTTTGTCCTTTGTTTTATTTGTTTCCCTTCCATGGTAATTTGGTTCCCTTGAACGTCTTTTATTGGTTTCATCATCTCGGTTGATCTCTTCCCAGATAGAGACCTGGTTATTTGATATAATGTTCTTAGGTCTCTTTCACCTACACGCTGCCTGTTCTGCTCTAGTTGGCAGTGTGTCACAGAATTATCTTTTGTCTCTCCTATTACTCTTCTTCACTTCTTTATTCAGTGCAGTGTACATTGTATTTGGAACAGAAACCCACATAGCTCCTTAAACTTCAAGTGGTGCCATATATCTTTGAAGTTTGAGAAATTAAAATGAAAAAAATACATGGTTGTGACAGGGTTTCGGTAATCGGACGCAAACTCCTGAAGCTGCCTCATTCTAATTACCAACCGAGATAAATCCACATTGTAAAGAACATTTGTTTTTGTTTAATGTAATATCTCTTCACTTTTTTTCGCAATTCCAGTGAAACCTAAGGTTTTAAGCTTGGCAACTAAAGCTTCGGCAGTAGTATCATTCTATTTTACGAGATCGGGTTGCTAGCTTCATGTAAAACCTTCTCACTGCGCCTATTATCATCTAATAAACCAGAGCAGGTGTAACAGTACATCAGCTAGGAACCGAATCCAGACCATGTGCTGGGTGGTTGACAAGCTTTCTTACAGTGAACCACTAACGTATAACGTGATCTTAACGACTGAAAATACTATAAAATAAAATAAATTTCAGCTTAGTGATAATCGATTAACTTCCAACTTTAAAAACACTACATCCGTCTTTGTTTATCAATTATCTAATTAGCTCTGCTGGATGACTATCGGTTGTATTCTATATAATCAGATACAACATTTTAGATTCATACCAGAAATGTGCATAAAGAAATCAACTCCAATGGAAAGAAAGCTATGCAGATTATGCTTACTGCGAACCTTATTCGGTTACATTGCTAAAAACGATGTCAAATAATAAGATGGAGACTTTTCATCGATAAGCTCTGAAGTCACTAATTTAATCACTTAACTTTTTGCATTATCTGTAAGATTCGACCAATAAAACGATAATAATTATTCTGATTTTTTCCCTAATATTGATTTGAGTCTACCTGTGTGCGTCTTTCTCTTTAATTCAAGGTACTCTTTAAAAGATTTTAATCAAGCAACATCAAAGTAAGATCAAGGTATGAAAAGTGTCCACGTCGTGTATGGAAGTTAAGTTAAGAAAAGACCTCCCTTTACTGACTTATCTGTTCTTCTTATTTACATCACACAGGAATTT